TGGTTAACTTTAAAGGAACTAAATTTAACCAGTGGTTAAAATTTAGTCAAAGCTTTATTAGGATAGCAGACGTCAGTAAGATACCAAACATGCTACGTATGTTTAGAGTACAAAAAGTAAAGGAACCTCTTTCGCCATCTTTCTAACAAAAATTGCTATTTCAAGTTACCCATAACTTTAACCAGCGGTTAAAATTTAACCAAAGCTTAATTAGGATAGCAGAAGTGAATAGGATACTGTGTCAACGAAATATAGAACGTACATATGTTCACCGTTTAAGGCACAAAAATTATAAGAATAACGAACAGAATCATTAGAAGTTATTTCCTGGTTAACTTTAAAGGAACTAAATTTAACCAGTGGTTAAAATTTAGTCAAAGCTTTATTAGGATAGCAGACGTCAGTAAGATACCAAACATGCTACGTATGTTTAGAGTCCAAAAAGTAAAGGAACCTCTTTCGCCATCTTTGTTACAAAAATTGCTATTTCAAGTTACCCATAACTTTAACCAGCGGTTAAAATTTAACCAATGGTTAACTAGGATAGCAGAAGTGAATAGGATACTGTGTCAACGAAATATAGAACGTATGTTCAACGTTATAAGGCACAAAAATTATAAGAATAACGAACAGAATCATTAGAAGTTATTTCCTGGTTAACTTGAAGGAACTCAATTTAACCGGTGGTTAAAATTTAGTCAACGCTTTACCAACATTGCAGAAGTGAATAGGATACCGTGTCAATAAAATATGCAATGTAAAGAAAGGTAGTAAGTAAGTAAGTACACAAAAACTATGTGGTTCTTTGTTACCACCCTCGATCAAGAATCAAATAGACGTTACAGAAATAATTCTTTGGTTAAACCAGGTTTAACCAGTGATTTATTTACATACCCTAAGCTTTATTAGCGTAGCAGAAGTTGATACGATACATCGATATATGTATAAGCTAAGTAAAAGAAGTAAAGAACGAAGTACTAATGGGAATAGGGACAATTTATGGATATCTTCCTTTTTAAAATGGTATTTAGTTATATTTAGTTAAATCTATTCACACCTTTACTAGGATAGCAGAAGTCATAGGATGCCGTGTCAACAAAAGATGAACATTAAAAAAATCAGGTAAAGTTCTCACGAGAAGGGACTAAATAAAAAAAAAGAAAGAGGAACGCCGTGGGTTCATGTTTTTGTAACGAATGAACGTCACTTATTCCTGTCGTTCACACACAAACTAGGGATTCAGAAATGACCAGGATATGCAAGGGATGCCTGTTTTTTGGAAGTTGACAACGCATAATTTTTAACTTTTTACAACTGCACCAGTTTAGCTCATTACACCTATTTTGCGTACATTAAACAAAACATATAGAATGGTATTTTTTTTACAAAACATTTCCACATTTTCTATTTGCGTTTACTGTGTACAGTAATTTATAAATAGGCAACACAAAACTGAATGGCAATAAAACTGTTATTGACATAGCCAACACAGGCCGTTGTGGCGTACGTTGTAAACTAGGCCGAGCCTGCCATTACCATTTCTGTACTTTTGTAGGCCTAGTCCGATAACTACAGTAAACATCACTTAAGCAGTTGACTCGACGATAACTATGATTATAATGTAAATTAGATTTATTGGTTACCAATAAACTAATTAATCTAGTGGTTTTAGTTATTTTATTTAATTTCGTGAATTTTCAAATTGGTTACGTAGTCAAACTATAGAATTTAGATACATTGCTGTTAATTTTCGTTTCATTTGAAATCTGAATATGGTGACCTGATTTTGATTATAATGCCGAAATTATTAGATTATTTGGGAATTTTGAAGGATGAGTTTTAACTAGAACTCCAAATATCCGTATGTGAATTTATGCATGTATTGCGATTTACGCAGTGACGTAGGTAGTGACCTCGTAAGTGAATGTACAGTGATTGTGATAGCCGATAAAGACAGCGTTTTTTTATATACTAACAACAAGGGGGCGTAGCTCAGATGGTAGAGCGCTCGCTTAGCATGCGAGAGGTACCGGGATCGATACCCGGCGCCTCCAATATATTTTTTTTCGCACGTTGTTACATTTAACCTTCATTAACTCATTTTATTAGTATACTAGCTGACCCGGCGAACTTCGTACCGCCTAACAGTCAATTAATGTCGTGTTACCTTTTAGCTGAACTAATTTAGGCTTTGGTGAACGTCATACAATGATACAATATAAATATGAACATAGATATATAAAAGTATTTTATTATTATGAACAATACATATAGAAAGAGAATATTTTTTTTTAAACGTTGCCCCACTCTAGGATTTCCTCCTGTGTCGTGGGTGCGTTTACAAACATACAATATCACATACACATGACACCCAGACCCGGAACAACAATCTGCGGATCACAAAAAGAATTGTTCCGTGCTGGAATCAAACCCGCGACACGTTGCGCGGCAGCCAGTTGCCCAGTCACCGCACCAACCGTGCAGTCAAAATAAAAATTAAATACTTCAAACACGTGTCAGAATTTTGTTATTAAATTAAAGTATGTTGTGTAGCATGTGATGCACTCGGATTGACTCTGTTCATTCAAGCACCTCGTGGTAAACGACATTCTTTGTATTATTGTCAGGCGCAAGAACAAATAAAGCGGATGGTGTACCGACACGTGAACATGCCACGTACAATTATTATTGACCGTGAGAAAAACATGCATTTTCTAAATTAAGACGAATCAGGAATTGAATTCGTTTAAATTCTAAGGGCATATCCGTTGTGATCATCGGATCCTTGGTATAAGAACTTCCTCATCTTTCAAAACAAACGAATTTACTCTTTGCAAAAAACAAAACATAGACAATAGTTTAGATCATAGGCTAGTTAGTACTTTGACAGGTTTATTATATTATGGTCACGCTGTTCATTAGTTCAGATGATAAACTATTACTTTGGATAGGGCAATTTTTAACTTTTGTAATCATTTTAATCTTAAAAAAAAGACATTTACGTTTTCGGTACCCTTTAAAATAAATAAAAAAAAATATTTTTCAGAAATACAATATTTTTGAATATAGACTACTAATAAATGTATGAACGCACCTGTAAATGTTAATCATATTTCTGAACGCATGTATATTTTTTCTTTATTTTTTATTATTTTTTTAAAACGTTGCCCCACATTAGCATTTTCTTCTGTGTCGTGGGTGCGTTTACAAACATACAAGTTCACATACACATTAACACTCAGACCCGAAACAACAATTTGTGGATCACACAAAGTGTTGTTCCGTGCGGGAATCGAACCCACGACACGTTGCACGGCAGTCGGTTGCCCAGCCACCGTACCAACCGTGCTGTCGAATGCATGCATGTCAACCCATAGTATTTGATAGGATGGACAACAAATGTTTGACAGGTACGAAACAAAGTAACATTAAGGTAAATTGATTCATCTTTAATAATTGTTCTCGTCGAGTTTTTATTAATTTTAAGATGTATTCTCTTACTCCAGGCGGGGAGACAAATCCAACGAACCAAAAACTATGAAATGAAATTTGGTCTAGCCGATCTCGAGTTACAAGTGTTGGGACATTATAACTTTTATATACATCTAATTTCCTAGGGGATTTCCTAGGGTACTCACTTGCAACAATTATTTGAGTTACTTTACACAAAATAAATACTAAGACGTTTTCTATACCTAATAGAAGACTAAGTGTTGCCCAGTTGAGTATATTTTATTGCACTGTTTGATTGAACTGAAAGAAATCGAAATCTTAAGTACCTGCAATATCTCTTTCTGCGAAATAAACAGAAAGAATGAATGGCCATGGTCTAATTTTATTTAATGCTATCACCATTGGACGTGCAAATGCACACACATGCAGCGTCCCAATACACACTCATCTCAAGCTCGGGGACACATTGACCCCGTTTCCATACAAAGGTAACGTGCAAAATAAAGAACGAGCGAAATGAAGGGAGAGAGGTACCAGGTGAACATAGAACACAATGGGTGTCATGCACTGTATGGCGTACGTGGAAAAGACGTAGCCCTTTTACGTGTTTTCAACTAAACGTGTGACCTACGCTCGAGGCCTCCAGGGGTTCGTAAATTACAAAACGGGTTTGTTCAATAAATAAGTACTTGTAGATGTACTTACATCCACACCGACGAAATTAGCTAATTAGGTGTACCGAAATAAGAAGCAAGTAAACACAAATTGAATCAAAAAAATAAAACGATTTAACAATACGAATAAGAGGCGCACATGAACATACTTACAAATATCCGTGAAACACTTTAACTACGCATGAGGGTATAATATTATGCGACGCTACTCGTTCAAGAGTTTACCATAACGGATATTGTTGAGAATAACGAGATTTTTACACAAGGGGGAAAATTCATAAGGAAAAAATAAGTCAGATCAAATTATTTCTGATTTTTCACTTCGCTGAGTCGTGTGACATGTCGTCTTCTCCTTTAAAACGTCAACACGTCAAAGTAAATTATACTTTCTAAAAGATTCAGTAATTCACAAATTTTTGTTAACAAAAGTCCTGCATTTATTTGTTTATTTTTCTTATTATCATTAAAGCTAGCGAAGTACTTTCTTAAACTTGTTCAAGTAGTTACTTAAGAAAGAACTATTCTTATTCTTGTATTTTCTTCAAATACCAGGATAACATCGAGTAATAAGAGGAGTTCGCCAACTAAATAAAAAAAACGCAAGCAACAGTTTTTCGTCTCTTTCTGTCAAACAGGTGCATGTTGTGCCAAGGAACTCGATTTTATACTTAAGATGTATGAGAATAAAGCTTAAAGTCCTTAAAAGTAAATTGTTTGGAATAAGTTTAATATAAACGGAGGGTTAAAATCATTTAGTATAGGGCGGAGCCATGTTTTTTATTAGGTGTTCCCTTCTTATAACGAGGAATCCCGTAGAGATATTGCTCACACGTATACCAGGATCATATAAATACAGCATAGGACTTTACTTACCAGCGACGACTGTCTCAGCGCGCGGTAGCCTCTGCAGCACATGGTGTATGAGGCCAACGTCTGTACAGGCTTGAAGGTTACGCACACTCTTGCGCAATATTGCGATGAACACCGACCATATTTCCGCCTAAAACAATACAACAGTATTTGATTAGAAATCGTACCACGAACATAAAGTGGGTGGGTGACTTCTGAAACAATCAGTGGGAGTTAAAAAGTTAGGATAAGCCAACAGACGCTGGCTAGCGTATTAAAGCATAATCCACTTGGCGCGTTTATTCGTCCATACTAACGGCGCGCATCAAGGCAGAAATTTTCAATTTCAAAGCTTTCTGTTTAATAGAGCCTGCAGTGTAACGACGCAGCGACGGCATGCGAAATATTTTTAATGAAATTCTTTTCTGTTTGCGCTCTCGTGGTGTGCTGCAGTGCTGGTAATTTTAATTTTACACAACACTATGTGCGCCCGGCTTAATTTGCTCTAATTTACGCTAATGTAACAGGGATGTTGAGTTGCACGGCCGGGGAAGCGGGCGCACATTAGCCGGACCTTTGTTATTCTACTTAATGCTCCAAATTAACTATTTCATTTTACTTTTAAAGCAACTGCAAAGGAATAAACGAGCCATTTGACGAAAATGAAGGAGCTAATTAATTAAGATCTTTTTGCTCCAAGCTTTTTAATTAAACAAATGATTTCAATGTTTGTAAAACATTGTTAAGTAAACAATAGCAATCAATTAGTTATATTCGGCTAAGTTATACTCATGAGTTAATGTAATAAATACCGTTACAAATGATGACAAACATAAAAAGTACAAAACGTTAACTATCACTCAAAAAACTTGCAACTGTTCACACGCCCCATGGAAGGGTTGCGTTAAATTCCCATTGGTACCAGGGTATGATGAACATATGAGCGATGTACAACATTCCAATAGATTCCCACGTTTCACACAAGCAGAATTTTGTTCCCATATGTACCAGGACAACAGGGGTGGCGAAGAGTTAAGACATCTTTATGTAGCCGGCCAATGTTTGCAATCCCGGCACAAAAAGCATAATAAGGATATTCTTTACTGTTTTTTTTTGACAGATTGATAATGTGTTCTGTAGGTACTTGTGTTCTGGGGAGCAAAGTCTGAATGGATTTCAATTAGATTTAGGATCAATTTCAGTCACCACATCTGGGTAAGTTTCAGTCATCTGAAACTTCTTCGTACTAATGTTCGTAGTTTAATGGTAACCCTGGTAATTTAGAATAGGAAGAAATGGCTCAATCAAGAAGTTTATTTACTACGTTGCCATAGGATATACATAAAAATAATTGTTTAAAAACATTGATCATTTCGTCATTTTCTAGAAACGGAGTTGGTACTAAAAAATCTGAAAGTGAGGAATTATTCCGCAGCACACATTAAAAATTCTATCGAATTATACACATAACAATTGTTATAAGGCAAACGAAACTCCGAACTAGTCGTTTTATTTTATTACCATCGACAGAACTCTTTATGATTTTACTGCCTATTTTCCATTGTTCAGTATGCGCGAACAGAACAAAACCGAACACTGGGGTACTAGGGCACCAGTAAAGCTAGGTATACTTGCATTACAAAAGCCCCTCGCAGCTCTAACGAGACCGGTTGTAATTATATTACATTCTTCTGCCGTTAGCAGAACAATCTCGGCGAAATTACAAGTTCACGGAGAATTCGCGCAATTCACCCGGGAACGGGAAGGTATTTTTATTTCTACAATTTGTAAAGGCGGTCACTTCATTACTTTGATTTCGGCCGTGATTACGCATAATTAGGGGAATATTCTATTATTCTATAAACTCATTCTTTCTTTATTTGCTTTATCATTTTTATTGTTTTATAAGATTTTGGTTTTTCAATGTTATTTATTTAGTCTAACAATTACAAGAGCTTTAAAAACAATGCGACTCAAGAACCCATAGATGTAATATTATTGTATATAATGATGTACTTGTTTATTTCTAGACTTTAAATTTATTTCTAAACAGTTAATTAAGTAATGTAAATTTGTTTGTAAATGAAGTCGACATGAAGTCGACCTGAAACATTGGATACGGTAGCTAAGTCACAGGTAACTTTGCCAGTTCGAGACATATTGTTTCCAAATTAATAAAGCATTTGTATTTGATGCAAACATTTGTAAAGGAAAACAAACTTTCGTTATAAACATGTCGCACAACAAAGAACAGTCAGCGAACAAAGTTTCCACCCCTTACCGTATACAGTACTACAGAGTGCAGGGTCGTATGTGTTATGTCTGTAATGATATCCGCTGCCTAACATCATTATTTGATGAAACTCTCTGCTCGTCTCATCAACGTCTCGTGGCTCATGTTTGCCCGGTAACGAAACGTCTTATACCGACTGCACAACAAGAAAGCATTTCTGTTTAATTATACCTACTACAAGAAATTCCGAATATTCATTAATCATAATATAGAGTCACGTTACTTGAGCAATTTTCATATTACTTGCGTTTAGGTCTTCGAAAGGCAACTAATAACGAAAATTGCTCGAGAAACATGAAAGCTATTAATTTTCCAACATGACTTACACAAAAAGTGTAATAACAAGGCTAATAAAATCGTTGCTGCACAAGTGTTGGCCAAAAACCATCGACTGACGTCTGACAGGGCCGGTGCTTCCCACTCGGGCCTAAAGAAAAACTTCTCATAAGATGACTCGGCGGATTCCCTGTGTCGGCGCGTCGTCCATCACGGCCTGAGTGGCAGCCGCGCTCCCGACGTCCTGGTAGTAAGGCTACGCATACGAGTGATGTATCACTTCATTACATTGTTGAAGGCAGGTTGAAAAATATACGCCTCCACCATTCTGAGAGCCTGGTAAAGAGTGCACAGCCGTGAAATGTGATATTGTCATTAGCTCATAATAATAGACTTTTCTTATTTTGGTGTTTTAGGAAAGGATTGGCCAACGCATTATGAGTAAATTCGAATGTTAACTTCGAAATCAAACAACTGAAATGTCGATTCATCAAAAAATTTAATTGTTTTTTTCAATAAAGACGTAACAATAGTAAAAGTAATAAAACAAAGTGAAAATAAAAAGGCCAACCCTTGCTATGAACGAGGTCCAAATTATTATTTTCAATACTCGGAACTGCAAACAAATGTATTGGATTCCATTCAAAGAAAATCCACTGAGGTAGATAAACAAATACCTGCAGAAAAGATTTTTACTTTTTTCTTTTCCGAGACTCAATGTTTCTATGAACATCAAACGATTTCGTAAATTATTTTTTAGTGAAAGAATTGTGTGTTTAACAAGCAGACATAAGTTGCAAAGCACAAGCACGAAAGCTTTTTTACGTTTTGTAGTGAGTTGCACATGGACTCACGGTGGAAGTAAACATCGTTACTCACTTTAGACATCTTTATTTTTACACGATATTGTTAACAAATAACCAATCATGTTAGAATCCACAACATATTGTGCAGATGAATTTGGATATCATAATTCCGCGTGAGTCTCAAAACAGAGATCAAAACTTAAACCTCGTTTAGTGGTTGCTTGCATTTATTACTAAAAATATCATAACACCCAAGATAGGAATCCATACACAGCGGTGCAGACAATGCTCCCACGTTAAAGTTTTGTAATGTCTATTGAGCTTGTGAGGATCAAATGTCTTTACAGGGCTTACTAAGCAGTACAGTATTTCAATAAAAGTAGGTATATAGACACCTAAAGAATTGAACATGAATTCATATATTCAATGTAACAGCAAAATAATAATTATAATAATGAGGGCCCGCAGGGCACCTTGAGGCGAGGTGACGGGCATTAGCGATCCCGCGGGCTACCATCATCCCGAGTGCTCCAGGGAGAGGTCACCGTTCCTTCTTCTCCGGCTTGCCTTAATTGGCTGGCTGGAGTGAATGATGACAAGGAACAGGTCTCCCACCTCTGGCTTGCCTTCATTGGCCGTCCAGAGTGGAGTCGCGAGAGCAGTGATCCTGCTCGGAGGGTAAGAAACTATTCGTAAGTCGCGAGTGGGCCAGGGATGCAGGAGGCTTCGGCTGGAGCAGATGATCTGAGTAGAAAGCGGTGGTAGTTTCTTAACCCTTCAGCCACTCACATTCTCGTTGCCCCTCTGTTGCTATATCTAGCAGCCATTCCCGGGGCCCGGTCGGTGAGTTGGCGAGTCTCCGCCTGCCATTTTTACGTGTAATAATTACATTGTTTCGGCAGGTGCCATAGTCATCCATAGTTCCCAATTTGCCAGTCCACAGTAACCCATCCATAGCCCTATCTTTTTTTTTCCATTGTCCTCAATAGTTTTACACTAACCGGAGACTGTCCTTGGGTGCATTTCCATAGTGCATACAGGGATAGTCGCCGGTTTGTGTCTCCATTACATTTATATTAAAGTTGTCTAAAGGGCCTCTGCGCAGTTGGCTTCGGCCCCTCGCATGCCTCCCAAATGACCGGGACCCTGTGGTCCCGTGAATGGTAAAGACACACATTATAATAAGCGGCTAATCAGCACCTCTTCCCGAACTATTTAACTATATCTATTGAATCGGTGGCTTCTATTTGTAGTTAATAGAGATGTTTGTTTGTGATGATTGTTTGCTATATAAGTACATATTTGCAGTGAATACTTTGCTCCCAGATCTAGGACGTAGAAATGGTAATATGAAGTTGTTTGTTCTTCTTGCGGCAGTTCAGTTTACTATTGATTTTATGAAAAGACTAGTGATGTCGTTACTGGTTATGCAACTAGTTTTAATTTAATACATAATTTAACACTTTAATTCTAATGTAGACAATCTAGTTTCCTTATGGCATCGAGCATTTCTTTATTGAAATAAAGAGTTTCCTGTTCTTGTATAGAAGCATTAATTCTATAGATTGTAAGTATGCATATGTGAGCACCATGTTGGACTTTAAGATTTTTATTTATATATTTTAATTTTTTTAATTTTAATAAGTTATTAGTATAATGCGTCAAGCGTGTCTTTGCATTGTTCTTACATATGCGTACAGTATTGAAATATGTATCAGAGACGTTGTAGAACATACTTTTTTAAAAAGAGTAACGAATGGAGTTTCTTGCTCGTTCTTCTCCATTCGAATCTACTTTTTGGAATGAGCACCTAGCTTCACCTAGTTTCAATGACGGACTGACTGACAGACTATTATTTATTTTGTATTTGTTGACGTTTCAAAAGTACCAAACTATGGTTTAATTGAAATAAATGCTTTGACTTTGACTTTTAGACATTTTGCGAAACAAGTCGAAATACCGTTTACTCTGAAACTGTAAGATGATGTTTTTCTTTCTTTCTATTTTTTCCTATTAGACGCAATGCTACAAGTAAATAGTACTTATACCACAGAATAAATAGAGTAACATTGATGTGACTCATGACTTTTTCGTATACACAAATCGGCGTTACCAGGAGTTTATGATGCATAAACAGGTCGTGGACACAACACGACCGTCTGATCCATATTTATGTAAGCCCCGTTCAAATAAACAATGTAAGTTGCGTCGTGGCTGTAACTAAAATTACAATGGACTGTTTTCTCTAAAATAATGGTTTGTAAATAAATAATATTAAAAAAGTTAATTAGAACCTTGCAAAAATATGTAAAAATAGAATTAACAATTAAAAAACTGTTTCCGCCCGGGATCGAACCGGGGGCCTTGTGCGTGTGAAGCACACGTGATAACCACTACACTACGGAAACCTGTTAGCAAAAGACAAAATAATAAAGTAGTTACTGCGTACTATATACAACCTTGAGCAACTTTATCTTTAAACAATTCATGGCCATTCTGAGTACAAATAAATAAGCAACTAAATATTTGTATGTATTATTAGTACCATCATACGTGTGGATTGTACTTATGTTTCAATTAATACAGTTTACGTAAGTGGAGGTATGATACGTCACAAGCAAACACAAACTAAGTATTACCGTAAACTAGCAATTAATTACAGTAAAAACATTTCGTGTTCGCGTCTCACCTGTTGATTTTAAAACAACATGTTTGTATACTGTCACCTAAAATATCTTTGGATATGACTAATATTTAATTTAATATGAATAATATGATATCAGGATACGCGTGGGAATCATACATGCAAACTATTTTATTTTATGTCTACTGTCAGTCAGACGTCAGCAGTGTGTCAGAGGGAAATATTCTTAGATTCGCAAGTGTAGTGGATCACTGTGCTGCCAAATTTCTTACTGGCGACGACAACTTTAAGAGCAAATTGTTCTCATTTAAACTTTTTTTTTAATGGGACAAACCCGCCGCCCCCTCTCAAAACCGCTGCAACGACAAAGGTTCGTGGCAATAAAAAATACTACCTATTTATTTACGTATTAAAATAAATTGGTTTGTATGTGACGTAATGGAGAATCAACGAAAATTCCTTTAAAACACAACTAAATTAAAATTATATTTAGCTCAAATTTTTGCCCGCCAAAGTTACCCCTTTCAATAAGATCGTCTGTGGTACCAGGATCACAGAACAAGCGAGGAGATTGAACCTCGCTAAGATGTGCTGAGGGGACAATGACTCATGAATTGTTCTCGCGTTGCTATCTTCTATCGCACCCACCGTACCCATCGTACCTTTTATAAGACGCTTATTAAATCTCTTTGCAGATAAGAAATTATAAATTACATTTTCGTCTTACATTTTATTAATCTGAAGAATTTGTAGGCGTGAAATTCTTTGCAAAACCAGATAAAGAGTTAACTTGATCTACATTCATACCAGAATATCATGTGTTTGAAAGAGGTATCATCTCATAAACACGTTCTAAAAAAATATTTGAACCAAAAGGATCCGCACTTCAACAAAAAATGCCTTCAATCTTCTGTCCCTTTCATACCTGGAATACTGCTCTTTTGTATTGAAAAATATTTAGTTTTCCGTTGCATACGTCGTCCTTAAAATCGAAAGGTTGTGTTTTATGATTGCAGATGGCAGGTTTAGGAGAAAAGGAGCTTTTAAAGTTGTAGTGATGTTTGATTAGTTAAGGCTACTTAGTTAATAAGTTATGAATAATATTGTTATATTTACCTGTAAGCTTGGTGGGCAGTGGTCGAGCAGTTCCAACATGTGCTGAATATTCTGCGCGTCCTGTATCACGAAATTCAGCTCCATGTCGAACTCGCCGCCCACGAGCTGTGAACAAAAAATAAATAAATAAATACAATTTCATGACGCACACACAAGTCACTATTCAGTGCATTATCTAACTTCTACTTGTGTAGATAACACGTAGAATTCCTAATAAGAATTATTGAATTTCTCATCTTCGGATGTCTCAATAGTTAACTCGTCGAGTACCGGTTTTATAGACACAATTAAAGAACAATAGGTCGCGGTCACCGGTGACCGCTTGGTGTTTGACAGTTTAAACAACAAAGATTTGAGCTGCTTTAAATAAATGACTTTGATAATTCCACCATTTAGGTACCATTTATTAATAAAACTGTAAACATTTCTCCAGTACTGATTTGACTGCGCGTAAATTAAATTAGCTTCATGTTTAATTCGTTTTAGTGGGCACGTAACTTGAGTGAGTCCTAAAAAGAATAAAGACCCTTTTATTTATACATTACACTGACTGAGATTGTGGTGTAGCAAAATGTTGTAATTACTTTATGCCCGACAAGATTGTACTTCGAGAAGACAATGGATTTTTGATGGCAAGTTAAACCTAAAGAGGAACAAAGGTATTTAATACGAAAGTACTTCTCAGAAAGTAATAAAGTTACTTCTACTTGACCTCTGGTGGCATGGCTGAGTGGTCGTCAATGGACATTGTACGTGTCTTTTGGTTTTACCCATTTTTTCCATCAATAGAACATTTTGTGACCGAGTGAAATATTGGCTGTATCTTGAAAAGCTGCCGGACAATGGGTGTTGTCCCCCGCCGTGTTCGACGGACATTCAATTTGCGCGATCGGTCAATCTCTGTATAGCTTCTGCTAGCCTGGTGCCCGGGCCTTTTGTGTTCTTCACAATGCCATAAGCAAAGAACATGAAAAATGTAGTCGTCACTAACAAGCTGTGTTTCAATGAAAAACTCGGTGTGCCGTGTATTTTTTCAAACTACACCTTAGTCTTTCAATTAAAAAACTATAAAATTTCGTTATTATTGCTAAAGCTATCCCACTCTTGCATTTTTTTTAAATAGGAGATGGGCGGAGCGACCTTCTTTAACTATTTCTATCTTACTCTAACGTTAACACCATTTCAGTCATGTTTTTTGTTATGGTGTTGGTGTGGTTTAACCCCTAACATAACAATGGCGTTTTACCCCTATGGTGTTGCGGTACTAGGCGGTCATGAAAATAGAGGAGTTTTGTACCATGGGGTTGATGCGGGAATGCAGGGTTGATACGGGATTTTGGGCGCGTAAGCAAAAGATTCCGAATCGCAGCGTGTGCCGTGTGCGGTCTGTGTCATAAGTATGTAAGTTTCACTAAAAACCATATCCTATATTTTGGCTAGAATCTTTGTAAATTGTGGTCATATTTTACACTTTCTAACAATATTAAAGCAACAGAAAATCTATGTATTATTTTAGATATTTGCCAGACACTGGAACTATTCACATAGTCAAGCACAACCTGTGCTTGGGGTTCTGGTTGTTCAAATAATTCACACATACGTAAATGACCTTCCTATTAGGAGTAGGACAATACCAGAACCCCATGAATACTTAGTAAGTTACTGCTTGCACTTCCTACATGTGACTCTGTGAGTTCTGTGACTAACGGGTTGCCTCGTATTCAGGCAAAATCAAGCCATTTTCTGTATGAATTAGGAATCCATTCTCGCTCAATAATCTGGCACAAATCCAAATTCCAACAGATTTCAAAGACCCCTTCTTAATAAGCTTTTATTTTAACCATGTATGTACACAAATGAGAGCAATGTTTGTAATTATATTTAAACAACACGTTGCGAAACCAGAGAGGACATTAATTTTATGTGGTTTAAAATCACAATTAATTTTAGTGGACTGATCCACATCCACATGCAAACTCATCATTTTAGACAATATCCCAAGGCTGAATTTATTTTAATTTAACACGTCTAGATAATAAAAAAACGGGTTTATTGTACTTAGTGGTGGTGCCAAGACTCGATGCTGCAGAAGCTATGAGTATCATTCATAACCTCATTCGACGAGATTACCGGACAAATCTTGTAACTTTCAAACGGGAAAAGTCCACTTAACCCGAAAGTGCCGACGTTAAAAATTATGACGTCGATAAAAAGTATGCGATCTGAGCGGGAGCCGGTGTCGGCGGCGCGGCCGGTGTAATCGCATAGTACGGCACGGTAACGGGTGGCGACTGTCACTTATAAACGTGATTATTACCGGTAGCCGGTCGGAACGACGGCGGCAGGGCTGGTAATTAGATTGCTTGCCCGCCGGTTATTATTGCCGGCAACCCTATATCCGGACAGATCCAGTTATGGTGTCTAATAATAACGCTGGCACTCGTCGCTTGTTATTTCATTAGTACCTATCTGTTGGAGTTGTCATGGCGAGCCGTGTCACGCAGTCATGCAGGTAGGCTCGACGAGGGTTCGTTTGGGACGCAGCTCGTAAGCTTATTATCTTTAGGTACGATCCGCTTTGCTTTTGGATTTAACACTTCTAAAACCGACTTAGAGGCGGTGGCTAAACCCTGCTGCTGACGTTGAATTAATTCTAAAATTGAACAGTGAACGTAAGTAGGTACCGTGCTCCTGTGATGTTACCTCTTCACATTAACATTTGTGAAGTTACACTCACGAATAAAGGATTTAAACTAAAGCAGTTGCAAACTTTTCCTTTGCACACAAACAAAAATGTCGGTCAAAGTTATCCTAATGTGATGTCGCTAAGCGGTTAGTTTGCGAAAACAGTTACCTGACCCGTGTCCGCATGAGTTGACTGGAGGGAAAATATTAGCGAGTTTCCTGCGCGGAGGGCATTGGGGTAGAAAGCCGAAACATAAAGCTGTAGGTGAGGCAAGTCGAACACTCGCATTAACATTCGCGGCGGTGTAATTACGAGGAGTGGACGTCTCTCCGCCGCGGCCTCCCGCTGGGAAATATTCCGCGCGGATGTATTAAAATGCGATGACATCACGTATCTCTGCCACAGCCGACCTGCCCTGCTGCATCTACCTCCGCCTACTATTCCTTTCATTTTAAATGAGAGATCATTTTAAAATAAACACAAGCTTTTTAGTCTTATTATCCCGTGATAACTGATTGTCCCGTGGCAAGCTCACCTTATAACGTTTCTATTGCGATTGCCACTTATACCGACACCGATTTCAATATAACGATTGAGTGTACCTAATTGTGTATAAATTAATAAACAACTGAAGTATTGGTCATACGCTCGTATTGCATCATTAATCTTATTTAAATCAGACTACAAGCACAACTGTAATTGGTTTTATTTCAAGAAAATAAAACATAGCTACAGAACACATCACGATCAATATCAGAGCAGAAAATAAGTGCAGGAAGAGCGTATCGTCGTAAGTGAAACATTAGATGTGAGCGCAGTCACGTGCACGGCTAGTAAATAATAAAGGTGGTATCGTAAAAGCTGTCAAATAAGCTAAATGTGGGGTAAACATGAGAGCTCAAAAAGGCGTGCGCACACAGGCATTAGTTACGAGAGACAAAGTGCCCGTAAAATCTCACGCAGAACACGCCGTGATAAATTATTATGGAACTGAGTCGGCACACGACACACGGCGCGCGCCTCACTCACTGCTTGTGTCTTATGTGACCCGTGTCCTGCACTGCGTACCGGTGTAATTGACCAACAAAACAATGCGGAAATGAATTGAAAACGTGTTATTTTACTAATTTTCTAAATTAGTTTCTAGTTGTTAGGGCATTTACAGGCACTAAAGTCAAAAGAACAAACTGTTCTTATATGGTTAGTTAGGTACATTCGTTTTCAATTAGTATCTATTTCAGTTCTTCTTACATTTGAATCAAGTATTAGGGTATATTATGACCTATAAGATACGATCCGAGTTGGATCATCCAACTACGCCGAAAGCGTTTCCATGTGTTTGATATCCTTACAAGCCCGTAAACAATTTGACTTCTTATTTTTCCAGCCATATCAATGCATAACGCGATTGTTGGTAAGTCCTCAAAAGAAATTTTCCTATGGATTATTTCAGAAGCCTAAACAATGCGAGATTTCGAGAACCGTTTTCGGTGAACGAGTCTCAATTACCGGAAATTCCGCGTTTAACTGGCCTCCGCCGGATTTAGCCGTTACAGGCTTCCTTAGGGATTTTGGAAAAGAAAAAGGTTGCGTCAATAAAATGAGGCTATTTTGCAATTGAATGATGTCCAGCGACAGAACAATAGAATTACAAACTAAGTGAACAATACACATGACACTTTAAATAAACACATAAAAGTACCTATTTTTTAGTTACTTATTTCTCAGGTAAAAGTAATACCTAAATCTTTGTTATTACAATGATTTCTTTCTACTAAACCGACTACCTGATGCTTGCGTTCAACCAATCATTGCAGTGAAACAGGATTTGGGGCGGTTACATTCGTCCCCTTTTATTAACATCTGTCAAAAGTTCTAAGCGCACGAGTTTATTTTCAATATCCTTTTTTATTATGGTATCCTGGTAGCCACGTTTAGATTCTGTTGTTTAGAATTTCACCGCATAGCAACAGACATCATAATTTATTTAGCAGTTTGACGAGGACGGCCACAACAAAATGAGATCTCAGAAAATCGCACAAAATTATTATTTCGCATTCTATGATGCTAACTTTACTAGAAAAAAAGCCTAATGGCGCAACGAATGTAAAGGATTAAATAAGTGATCAGGTTTACTAGGCGCACAGAAAACCAAAGGTATATCATAAATAACCCCGATGTTTACCCACCCACACCCACATGGGTGTAAACATGAGGTCCTTTGGGATTATGCAACAGTATTATCGATTCACATGGACATTAGGCGCGCAGATGTATAGAAGAGGTTTAGAATAAACGTTAACTTTTTTTTGGTAACTAATTTTTAGAAAACAAAGACACAATTGTAAGATAATAAAAGATTGAAATATCGATCCAAAATAACATCATTATTAAGTGAATTAAATATGCTAAATAAGTT